AAGTTAGAAGACCTGTGGTAGACAGGCCTTCTAATGAGACCATGCAGAACTAGGCAATACGCTTCCAAGATTTCAGCGTTTCTGCTGGTTCCGTCACGAGGTTCAAAGTGGATGACAAGCATACCAGCACATAAACAGTTCCAGACAGTCTCATTAACCTGTGTTTTCGCATTTGCATAAACGCAAAAATGTATGCCAGAACCTGAATCATTTTATGGTAATCAACTATCCCCTATCAGCTTGTTTCCAACTAACTTTCATAAAAAAGAGTTACTGAACAGAACTGCGCCTAAAAAGCATGATACTGCACCGATTTACATTGGTACGCACTGCCTGTATGCATTGTGACTTGATAGCCTGTCTGTAATTGTTCCCTGAGCTGTAAAGACAGACGACAGAATCGGCGCAAATTGAAGTAAGAATCATCAATGCAGCGCACCATTTCGCCATTTTTAAAGAAACATGTTGATTATCTAAGAAAAATGAACAAAGATAAGGAAATAAGGGTGAGCGTAAAACGAAAAACTTAGCAAAGTGTGCAGAGCAAATCATTTTTTCAGAAGCTGCATGTAAAATTTTTGTTCCCATTTTAAACTAATAATTTTTGAATTGTATTTTCAATATCAGCAGAAGCCAGACTACTGGTAGCATTCCATAAGCCAACACTTTCTGCTAATACACGTATCGTTAAAAAAATACAACTCTAATACATAAAGCAGCTTCGATCTATCTTCTAATTTTTCCAGAACTGTTCAGCAAACCTTCATCGCTGATATGATAACCACCATGTCCAAGCAAATTTCGGATACCACGATATGCGCCAAAAAGTAGCAGCAGGGCGACCACCAACGCCACAATAATCAGAAAAAGAATTAGAAATACCTAAAATTGAATGGAGTTTGAAAACAGCACTTGGTTCAGGAAAAAAAGGAAACGAAAACTTCAATAAGCCATCTCTTTTTTCGTACTGGTTCTTCCTTTGTTCCTTCCATCAAAAAACAAAAAACTGACTATTTTGATAAAATATTGGCAAAATTTTATTACCATATAGTAAGAAACAATTCGGTATTCGCTCAAACAACAATCGACCATGTTTCTTATCCCTAAGTGCTCAAAGCTCCTTGCTTATCAGCTCGATCGACTATTCAAAGTTAGATTATAGAGTATAACTGCTTTTCTTGGAAAATGCTAACATCAAGAAAAAAACCTTCGAGAAAAATGACTCCTCCTCGCCCTCGCTCCCTTCTTCTATCCGTGTGTGTATGTGCATTCAATTCTGATGCATAGTAAAAGCACCAATTTTCAAATACCTCATCTTCGACCGGTGCAGAAACAGTAGCTTTCATCTGCTGGCAACTTTTTTATACTAGCAGTTTCACCAGAATGTGCCGCCATCGCGTCCACTGAGGTAGTTCTTTTATCAGTACCATGGGCGGATGCAGTGTAGTTGCCTGGGGTGGGGGAGGGGGGGAGCGATTTTTCACTTCACCTTCTTCCTTCTTCACTACAACTCCCTTCCCATCCCTCCCCCCCCCCCCCCCCCCCCCCCCCCCCCCCCC